TGAGTTCAGTTTCTGACTGGTTCCTTTTTATAATTTCCATTTCCATTTTTATGTTTTTTTTTTTATCTCTGTTAAAGTTCTCACTGAATTCATCTACACTTCCCATAAGTTCATTGAGCATCTTTATAACCAGTGTTTTGAACTCTGCATCCGTTCGATTGCTTGACTCCATTATTCCTGGGTCTCTGTTCTGTTCTTTCATATGGTTTTTGCTTCTTTGTCTTCCCATTTTGGCTGCCTTTCTGTGTCTGTTTCTATGTACTAAGCAAAGCTCTTAAGTCTCCCAGTTTCATTAGTGTGGCTTTACGTGGTAGGTGTCCAGTGGCACAGTCCTGAGAGGGGTTCAGCTGCAGGCTAAATTTAGCCCCAGCCTGTGCCTCTTCAGGGCCATGTGTTAAGATTCAGAAAGCAATCCACAGATGCTGTGCTTATAGTTGCCTCAAAAGGCCACACCAGAAACTGAGGCCAGTTGCCACAAATGTGAGTCTAGGAGCTGCTCAGCAAGGAGCACCTAACTTGCTGAGCATACACTTGAATGTGTCTTGGGTGGGGCTGTGAGTTGGGGGAGGCGGAGTTTCAGGGAATGCTCTGGGTGGAGCAACTTGTTATCCAGTTTGATGATGTCTTTGCTATGGCAGTGCTGAGTCTGTGGGCTGGGAGTGGGAGGACTCAACTGGGAACAATGGATACTGCTGGCACTTCTGTACAGGGTGAGTCTCACTTCGGCCCTCACTCTGACAACTCAGTGTCCCCCTTTAAGTCCCTGCGCAGCTGAACCAACACTGGTGCTCAGAGCAAGCAGGTCCGTCCCCCCAAAAGTCCTCTTGCAGACAGGGCTTCTCTACGAGGCGTCTGCAGCTGCCACAGCCTCCATCCCACTCAGCCGCCCAGCAGCCTCGTGTCCTCTCCTTGTCCCACTTTCTGCTGTTGCAGGGTGATTTCTTAGATTTCTCCCTAGTTGTATGGCTTATTCATCTAGATCCCAGGCGACCTTCTTTGCTGTTTGGTCCTCGTTTCTATCACAACCCCAATTTGGTCGCCAGAGGGATGAACAGAGCCTCTATCATCTATGTCATTTTTTTTCTCCCTCCTATGTGTCTGTTTTTATGTCAGTACCATGCTGTTTTGATTACTATAACCTTGTAGTATAGTTTGATATCAGCTAGCATAATGCCTCCAACTTTGTTCTTCTTTCTCAAGATTGCTGTGTCTATACAGAGTCTTTGCGATTCCATATTAATATTTGGATTATTTGTTCTAGTTCTGTGAAAAATGCCATTGACATTTTGATAGGAATTACATTGAACCTATAGGTTGCGTTGGGTAGTTTGAACTTTTTCCTATCCAAGAGCATTGTATATGCTTCCACTCATTGTCATTTGATTCTCTTCTTTATTCACTTCCCCAGCAGGTAGGGCTTTCAACATAAAAATTGACCATTTGATTCTAAAATTTATATTCACTATGAAACATTGGAGATCTTGCTTCCTAGCAATTGTTGTCAGTTTTTGACTCTAATAAACTCTTATAAAATTTTTTAAAAAAATAAAATATATATAAGATGAAAAGGGCCAATAAAAGTCAAGACGTTTATAAAGAACAACTAAATATGAAACTACTCTATAGACAAAAAGGCAATAGAAGTCTACAGGAATTAAGACAGGAATATTGAAACAAATTAGAAACTAGACCAGGAGAAAAGATCAGAGCCCCCAAACTGACCTACACATATGTGGACATATTACTTATGACAAAGGAAGTACTGTAGATTATTGACAAAAATACGTTCAAGATCATTTAGATAGCCATATGTAAAGAAGCAAATCTTGAAACCTATCTTAACCATCCACAAAAATTAATTACATAAAGTAACTTTAAATGTGAATTTTAAAAAATGCTTTCATAAGATAATTTATTTTTATAATGTTGATGTAGAGAAAGATTTCTGAAACAGATCACAAAAAGCACTAGCTATAAAGGAAAGGTTGGTAAATTGGATGACATTCAAATTAAGCATTTCTTTTTAATTAGAATTCATCATTAGAAAGTGAAGAGGAAAGTCCCAGAGTGAGAACAGGTATATGAAACATAAAAAACTGACAGAGGGCTCACATTCAGACTATATAAAAAATTTATACACGTCAATAAGAAAAATAAAATCTAATAGAAAAATAGATAGAAGACCCAAACAAGTAATTTATGAAGTAAAATATTCAGATGGTGTTTGGTTTCAATAATAACTATGTAAATGAAAATTAAAATTTGATTGAGATGCCACCACACATCCTCCAGAACAGTTAAAATTAAAAAGACTGACAATACTAAGTATTGGTGAGGATGCAGAGCAATGAGAACTCTCATTTACAGTTGGAGGGAGTATACTGTGTCTGGCAATATATACTAAATGTAAAATTCAGCATATCTTAAAACTGAGATATTTTACTCCTGGGGTAACAGAAATGCATGCACATGTGCATCAAAAGAGATTTTCAAGAATATGTGTAGCATCATTATTTGTAATAGATTAAAAAAAAAAATTAAAAAACATCCAAATGAGGCTCCTGATTACCAGCTTAGAAGTTATTACGTCTATCCTCAGAAGAAGAAAAAGCTGTAAAAACTAAAAATTAACAACTTTTTTTTTGGAGATATTATTGATGTATAACATTGTATAAGTATAAGGTATGCAACATGTAGATTTGATATTTATATATTATAATATAACATGATATAATATATATTATAATATAATTATCACCATAGTGTTAGCTCATGCCTCTTTTACATCACATAA